CATAGACTATCCAACAATATTGATTGCAAAGAAAACTTTTATTTATGGAAAAAATAATGTATGTTGATACTTTAGTATACAACAAGCTCTACTGTATGTGTGCTCTCAAGTGAAACAGTAAGATTGACTGACTTGATTTACTGCACAGTGGTACACCTGGGTAGGTACACAAGTTTATTCTTGATTGTTGTGCGCACATTAATTAATTGCGATATGCAGACGATTTCACCACACAGATTTGGTCAGTAATATAATATTATTATTTTTGCAGACCGCCACGACATCCATCTAATTCAAATACAACATCACCAAGTAGACCTACAACAGGTAGAAGATCAGCAAAGGTACTGTTAATAAAACTCAACAACATTTAAATAATTTGTTTTGAAGAATGGTAAAAATCAGTGGTTATAAAAGCATTGGGTGACAGAAAGGTGACAGAAAGTGCCTGTGAAATGACTGCTATTTTCACGCCTAAAAATATACATTGATACATAAATATTATTAATTTTTATGTTTCTAAGCATGAATTATTTTTTTTAAGTGAAAAATTGTGTTTTAAACTCAATCTACGGCAACTTTATTTTTGTGTATTTTAAAACGAGGCTCCTCATTAGCTTCTTATTTGCATACAGAAATTCCCCTTGTGACGTCAGAAGGGGAAGTCGCATGGCAGCTTGCATTGCCGATACGTGTAAATAAGGCAAATTTCTTGTGCAGTTTTCTCGTCTTTGACTAAATTTTCACTTATGTACTTGTTCGTCAAGGAGGAATATGGACCATAATGAACACATAGTATAATTTTTGTTGCACGAGGGTGAGTTAGATGCGAAATATGTCTGTTCTGGTGTAGCTGGTCACCGTGATCGTCACCGGCTCACGTTTGTACACTGTCGCTGGACAAAATAGAATTTGACGTCGGAATTATCTTGTTATTTAGCAGGTTACTAAGCACGTCACTACACTGTTGTATTTCATCGACCGTCTGAGTAAAACTTTCAAAATTAAATTAAAAGAGAACATTCTTGACATTCTAAACATTAGACTATAGTGATCACTATAAAATAATTAAAAAAAACGACAAAATCACAGTTACTAAATAAATGACAGCCACGTGGAAATAAATTGAAATTTTGTTGAAATAGGTGAACGCGT